GTGTAAAATGAAACATAAAAGTTAGGTGTTAAAATTGAGGGAGCGACTTCTGTAACAACAGCACGCTCCTAAACTCAATTTAAAATTGTAAAAAATATATGTTATATATTATTAAAATAAAAAAATAAATAAGTAAATAAAATTAAAATAAAATAAAATAAAATGAAGTTAAAATATTATCTAAGAGTAACTATTAGAAAGAGGGGGCGAAGCATTAAGGGTTTAGGGTTAAATTGCTAATTTTATATTGGAGTTTTGATTATAGTTGGGGCTAGTGTTAGATTAGGGTTGGGTTGGGGTTAGGGTTTGGGTGGGGTAAAGGTTAGTAATAGGTAAGGGTTTGCTTAGTGTTTGAGGAATTAGAATTATATTAGGGTTAGGGTTAGTGTTAGTGTTAGGGTTAGTGTTAGATTAGTTTTAGGGTTAGGATTAGTGCTAGATGAGGGTTGTGGTGGGGAAAGGTTAGTCATAGGTAAGGGTTTACTTAGGGTTTGTGGAATGGGGTCTCTTGTTTTGACTGTAGGAAGGGAAAGGGGTTTATAGAAAAGGATTGGAAAAAAAGATATCGATAAAAATAAAGTATTCTCCTTTTTCAATTATTTTTATGGACAGGAGACTGTAGGAATGGGAAGGATATAGGTAGAAGAGGAGCAATGTTGATCGAGGAGTGGTGAAAGAAGATGTGAAGTGTCTATAAAAGTTTTTCAAAGATGGAGAGAAATGGAAATCAAACCGGCCGGGTGAGGAGAGAAGGATGCATCGGCACCAAGGCTCCTTATGGTTGTGAGTCGTCAGGGGCAAAGCATCACCGAGCGAGGATGTTTCTAACCTGGTACCAGGTCAATGCCCGACATCCTCGTGCCGAGTCCTTGTTGAAGAAAGCAAGAAAAACTACACAAATATAGTGAGAAATTAGAAAGTGATTGGAACCTATTCCAAAGGAAAAAATATATATCTATATACAGTTTTTATAATATAGAGGGAGGTAAATATGCTACTTTACATAGGGGGAATCAGAAGCATTCCATGAGTTTTTGACACCTAACACAAAATATCAAATAACAAACCTAACCTGCATATGCTCCCCTGTCAGTCTTTCAATTTCCTTGTAAATAAAAAATTACAATCAACATACAAGTACATTGAGAAACAGGCAAAATTTAACTATTTCACTTGATCGTACGCACATGTTCATTTGCGCTATCAAAATATCAATTATTATTATTATTATTGTTATCAGTACTATTAAGACGTATATGAGCACGATCCTTCGCAGTAAAGCACTATCAGACCTGAAAAAAATTTCAGGCCTGTACGGGATTCGAACCACTGACCTCTGCGATACTAGTGCAGCGCTCTACCAATTGAGCTGACAAGCCAACTGGGAGCAGGCCATCAAATTAATTCGACATAAACCCGTAGATGATAAATCAAACAACAACAAACATATGAAACATATGTGTGAACTGCGGTTATGAGACGTATATGAGCACGATCCTTCGCAGTAAAGCACTATTTGATGGCCTGCTCCCAGTTGGCTTGTTAGCTCAATTGGTAGAGCGCTGCACTAGTATCGCAGAGGTCAGTGGTTCGAATCCCGTACAGGCCTGAAATTTTTTTCAGGTCTGATTTTCACTATTGCTCAAATAGTGCTTTACTGCGAAGGATCGTGCTCATATACGTCTCATAACCGCAGTTCACACATATGTTTCATATGTTTGTTGTTGTTTGATTTATCATCTACGGGTTTATGTCGAATTAATTTGATGGCCTGCTCCCAGTTGGCTTGTCAGCTCAATTGGTAGAGCGCTGCACTAGTATCGCAGAGGTCAGTGGTTCGAATCCCGTACAGGCCTGAAATTTTTTTCAGGTCTGATTTTCACTATTGCTCAAATAGTGCTTTACTGCGAAGGATCGTGCTCATATACGTCTCATAACCGCAGTTCACACATATGTTTCATATGTTTGTTGTTGTTTGATTTATCATCTACGGGTTTATGTCGAATTAATTTGATGGCCTGCTCCCAGTTGGCTTGTTAGCTCAATTGGTAGAGCGCTGCACTAGTATCGCAGAGGTCAGTGGTTCGAATCCCGTACAGGCCTGAAATTTTTTTCAGGTCTGATTTTCACTATTGCTCAAATAGTGCTTTACTGCGAAGGATCGTGCTCATATACGTCTCATAACCGCAGTTCACACATATGTTTCATATGTTTGTTGTTGTTTGATTTATCATCTACGGGTTTATGTCGAATTAATTTGATGGCCTGCTCCCAGTTGGCTTGTTAGCTCAATTGGTAGAGCGCTGCACTAGTATCGCAGAGGTCAGTGGTTCGAATCCCGTACAGGCCTGAAATTTTTTTCAGGTCTGATTTTCACTATTGCTCAAATAGTGCTTTACTGCGAAGGATCGTGCTCATATACGTCTCATAACCGCAGTTCACACATATGTTTCATATGTTTGTTGTTGTTTGATTTATCATCTACGGGTTTATGTCGAATTAATTTGATGGCCTGCTCCCAGTTGGCTTGTTAGCTCAATTGGTAGAGCGCTGCACTAGTATCGCAGAGGTCAGTGGTTCGAATCCCGTACAGGCCTGAAATTTTTTTCAGGTCTGATTTTCACTATTGCTCAAATAGTGCTTTACTGCGAAGGATCGTGCTCATATACGTCTCATAACCGCAGTTCACACATATGTTTCATATGTTTGTTGTTGTTTGATTTATCATCTACGGGTTTATGTCGAATTAATTTGATGGCCTGCTCCCAGTTGGCTTGTTAGCTCAATTGGTAGAGCGCTGCACTAGTATCGCAGAGGTCAGTGGTTCGAATCCCGTACAGGCCTGAAATTTTTTTCAGGTCTGATTTTCACTATTGCTCAAATAGTGCTTTACTGCGAAGGATCGTGCTCATATACGTCTCATAACCGCAGTTCACACATATGTTTCATATGTTTGTTGTTGTTTGATTTATCATCTACGGGTTTATGTCGAATTAATTTGATGGCCTGCTCCCAGTTGGCTTGTTAGCTCAATTGGTAGAGCGCTGCACTAGTATCGCAGAGGTCAGTGGTTCGAATCCCGTACAGGCCTGAAATTTTTTTCAGGTCTGATTTTCACTATTGCTCAAATAGTGCTTTACTGCGAAGGATCGTGCTCATATACGTCTCATAACCGCAGTTCACACATATGTTTCATATGTTTGTTGTTGTTTGATTTATCATCTACGGGTTTATGTCGAATTAATTTGATGGCCTGCTCCCAGTTGGCTTGTTAGCTCAATTGGTAGAGCGCTGCACTAGTATCGCAGAGGTCAGTGGTTCGAATCCCGTACAGGCCTGAAATTTTTTTCAGGTCTGATTTTCACTATTGCTCAAATAGTGCTTTACTGCGAAGGATCGTGCTCATATACGTCTCATAACCGCAGTTCACACATATGTTTCATATGTTTGTTGTTGTTTGATTTATCATCTACGGGTTTATGTCGAATTAATTTGATGGCCTGCTCCCAGTTGGCTTGTTAGCTCAATTGGTAGAGCGCTGCACTAGTATCGCAGAGGTCAGTGGTTCGAATCCCGTACAGGCCTGAAATTTTTTTCAGGTCTGATTTTCACTATTGCTCAAATAGTGCTTTACTGCGAAGGATCGTGCTCATATACGTCTCATAACCGCAGTTCACACATATGTTTCATATGTTTGTTGTTGTTTGATTTATCATCTACGGGTTTATGTCGAATTAATTTGATGGCCTGCTCCCAGTTGGCTTGTTAGCTCAATTGGTAGAGCGCTGCACTAGTATCGCAGAGGTCAGTGGTTCGAATCCCGTACAGGCCTGAAATTTTTTTCAGGTCTGATTTTCACTATTGCTCAAATAGTGCTTTACTGCGAAGGATCGTGCTCATATACGTCTCATAACCNGAACCCGTACCTCTGAATGGTATCAACAAAACCTACTTAAGTGTAACCAAGATAAATTTCAAGCTATGAGTCTAGGACCAAGACACAAGAAAAAGAGAATGAACCTAAATATAAAGGACATTAACATAAAATCAAGTTCCGGGATTGATCTTTTGGGAGTGGCAATTGATGATGACTTGAACTTTACTAAGCATATCAATAATGTCTGTACTAAGGGGGCAAGGAAAGTAGGAGTACTTATGAGGTTTAGGAATTTAATGCCTACTGAAGCTAAATTAAGAATTTTTAAAGCTTTTATTTTACCCCAAGTTACATATTGTCATATAGTATGGCACCATTGTCGCTCGTCAGACGAGAGAAAGCTTGAAAGGCTGCAGGAGCGTGCAATGAGGGCTATTTACTGTGACAGGGCTAGCACTTATGAAGCACTTCTAGATAAAGCAAGACTTCCAACGTTATGTAATCGCAGACTCCAGGACATGGCTATATTTATGTATAAAGTTAAGACTAATTTAGTCCCACCATATATTTCTGAACTTTTTAGTTGCGGCATACGTAGGTACAATCTTAGGAATGCAGACGATTTCTCCTTACCAAGATACAACACGGTTACATACAGAAGACATAGCTTAAGGTACATGGGACCTTATATTTGGTCGAAGCTCCACAAATCAATCAAAATGGCTGACTCTTTAACTGCATTTAAAAATCAAGTCAGAGTCCTTGACCTATCAAATGTTATATCGAAAAATAATTGTGAAAATTGTGAGTTATGTAAAACTTACTTTTATCAATTTTATATTGTTTGTATATAGTTTTTCTTCTTATTATCATCATAATTATTAGTTTAGTTTACGTAGTAGGTGTCCCCAATTAGTTTTTACTTGTAAAAGCTAGAACGATTGACACGTTAATAAAGTTATTCATTCATTCATTCATTCAAAAACTAGAAGCACAGTGGTTGGAACCTTAAGGTCAACAATAGATTCGACTCTACAGTGTATATGGTAAGACATCCATAACTGCAACTCCATTCAATGAACACCACACTAAATGAGTTTCTATCACCAAAAACTAAACTCACCTCAGACAGACATCTATTGGTCTCCTCTGCTTCTGCTCTTTTATGTTTTTCCTCGTCTAGTTCCTGTTTCAGAAAAGCTTCTGATAGCTCTGTCATCCTCTGGTTTGATAACCTTTCATTTTCAAGCCTCAACCTCTCATATCCCGCTTCAAGAACACATTCTCGTAACTGTCGGACCTCGGCAACAGTCTGTCGCAGTTCCTAAAATGAAACACGCTCTGTTAGATTAATAAGTCTTTTAACTAATAATAATCTGCACTGATTATTCTGATAAAACCTGACTGCAAAGAGCTATCACATGGTACTCAAGTTTTTATGGCAAAGAGAATTTGACCAAAAATCTTGAAATATGATGTCAGCCAAACTTTAGACCTCTCTGTTGATATCTTAGTGATAACTACACCAAAAATGTATCAGCATGACAAAGTTTTGAACAGTGTAACTCTGCAAGTATGTGAACCATGCAAGATATAGATCACTCACCTTACAAAATGAATACCATACAATAAACACTGGCAATTCATAATTATGTTTCTATCATGCACTGATAATTGTAATTCACCTAGCATTAAAACATTTCTTAGTTTTAAACCAGTCCATTGTACTAAACAGTAGTATATATCCAGATATGCATACAGTCACAAAAATGGCAAAAAATCATAAAAATCGTCAAATCTGCTGAGCTGATTTCAATTCAATGAGTTACATAAAATTAGTAAAAATTGTCAATTCCACCAAGCTGATTTCGCTTCAACAAACTTGACTAAAATTAGCCAAAATCATCAAATCCATGAACATTCACTTGGTTGGACAAAATTTCATCAAATCTGCCATTTTCTTTACTGCTTGCATTTCTGGACATAAATGGTAAGATCTCATTCTCTTTACAAGAAAGTGTATCCTTATGAAACAACCAATTTTATTTGTCTTGAGTACTCATGCAATCATTCAATTTGCAACTGAAAACAAATTGCTCAACATGTTCTAAGTCCCAACACTTTCACCTCATGACAACATGGAAACTTTTGGCCGCTCATTTACACGAGGTCTAACCCAAACCACAGTTTTATGCAATGTGTGGTTCCAGAAAATATCCATACCCCCTCCCCACCCCACGGAAGATCATTGGAAATTCTGAGGGGGAGGAGGAGTTCAAGGGCAGTAATTTCGGAGGGGTAGGGGGGTTTCGTGGTAAACTACTTTTCCAAAGGGTGACGAACCACGTACAAAACATTGAAAGCAACATACGATTGATCTGAAGCGCAAAAACATACTCACATACATACGTTGTTTTGAAACAAAAGTCAGTTCTTCTGGCCATTGAGATAAAGTTAACATTATAAGCTTTAATGTTTCTGTTTTTCTTTGAGTTAGCTAGCGCTACAACATCCCAAAGCTAGGAACTGCTAAAACACCAACATAGCGCTAACTTGCCGAAAACGCTTCACAATGGCCTGAGATGCTAGGAATCAACATAGAAAACAATAAGGCAATAAGGTAAGTCCATTTTATTTCAAAACAAGACATTTTTTCTGCTAAAACACCAACACAGCGCTAACTCGCCGAAAACGCTTTAAAATGGCCTGAGATGCTAGGAATCAACAAAGAAAACAACAAGGCAATAAGGTAAGTCCATTTTATTTCAAAACAAGACATTTTTTCTCTCTTTTAAGGCAAACTGATAATATCCCATAGAAACCTTTATAAATATAAAACGTTGCGCAACACAGTAAGAGTCACGTCCGCTTTTCTGGTAGTGAGCTTGGGCTGCCTGTGATTATCATTATTCCTGGTTGTTGGCCAGGAGTACTTTCATTCCCATTTCTTGCTCGACCTTCAGAAGGCCTGGCTACCTAGCTACTGTAGTAAACTGTGACGATGTTCACGAAACCTAGTTAACATGTGTGTGCTAGTGAGGTTTTCGGTCTTTAAATAAGAATCAACTTGAAGAAAGTGACAAAATGTGTGGACAAAGGAACCTTGTAAGTTTCTGTTTTATTTACTATCGATATCATTTGCAAAGTTGTTTAAGCGAGTGAAACATTCTCATCAGAGTGAGCATGAAAACATATGTGGAACAGTCGACGTTTTAAATCAGTTTAAATTTTGCAACCCAGATGTTTAAGCTTCTAATCTTACATAAAAGCAACATGGATATGATTTGCCAAAATGATGGTGAAGAAGCTAAAAGTATAAGCTCAACAAAGCATTATATTTTCTATCATGCACTGATAATCATAATCATAAACTTATAAGGTTTAGGAATTTAATGCCTACTGAAGCTAAATTAAGAATTTTTAAAGCTTTTATTTTACCCCAAGTTACATATTGTCATATAGTATGGCACCATTGTCGCTCGTCAGACGAGAGAAAGCTTGAAAGGCTGCAGGAGCGTGCAATGAGGGCTATTTACTGTGACAGGGCTAGCACTTATGAAGCACTTCTAGATAAAGCAAGACTTCCAACGTTATGTAATCGCAGACTCCAGGACATGGCTATATTTATGTATAAAGTTAAGACTAATTTAGTCCCACCATATATTTCTGAACTTTTTAGTTGCGGCATA